TCTGTTAAGAATAAATGCAAGACTGCCATGGAAACAACTGAAAGGTTAATGTCATCTCTTGTCTGTAACGATCTGTCTCTATGCCCATTCTTGTAGACAGCTAAAGTCAGGAAAGAAGAGGATACTAATTTAACGCAGAACTAGGGATGTAAGATATCTTGTAACCGTACCAAAAATTATCGGTTACATGATTATTCAATAGTCCTTGGGGCAGCAGCCCCACTCCTGGGGAGCCCACTGCCACTGCCATCCCTAGGAGCCAATACATGTGGGGAGCTGCCTTTCCACACTTACCAGCTCCCACCTGCCCCCTCACCGTCCGCGCTGCTGCCTCTGATAGGTTGTGGGAACAGGTAGCCATGCAGGATCCAGTGTTTGTGGGAGCCGACTTAAAAGATATTGTGATACAGAGGCAGCGGGGCGGCTATGGAATGCGTAGAGTTGTTAGGATTAACCGATAAGCTCAGGCTTATCAGTTAATTGTTTATAGGACTATACGCTAACATACCTACTCAGAATTAGTAAGATTAGGGTGACCTGATGTCCTGATATCAGAGAAGGAGTTCTGATATTTGGGGTTTTGTCTCTTACAGATGTCTATTACTCCTAACTGCCTGTTCTAATTTTTCACATTTGCTGTCTGGTCACTTTAAGTGTGACCCAAGCAGGGTGACAGACAGAAATGCTGGACCCCTTGGAAAGGTCCAGGGAGGAGGGGGAAACAGGCACTACACTCCTAGAAGGGGCAGAAGGAGAGGGGCTGGGTCAGCCAGCCCTTAGCACCTGCTGGACTGTGCTGCACTTTCCACAGCCAGCCCTTAGCACAACCCGGACTGCTCCATCCAGGGCTCTAACCCCTGCTACTGTTGCAGTAGTGGCAGCCAGAAGCTCTTGGCCCCAGGGCAGTTGCCCTCTTTCCTCCCCAACACACAAACCTCCACTGATAGACCTGGACCCATGAAAATGAATTATACTGTTAGTGTGGTGGTAGGCATTTACAAACTGTTGGTTAATGAAATTTATGCATCTAAACCAGGGCCTATCAAGATGAAGATAGTCTCTCCCTCTAACCTTATTTATATAGTAGCCTTTTCCCCTTTTATAGCACAACTTGAAGGTCATTCACCCTTCCTAGGGATGTTAAGTTTAGTTTAATCAACTAATCAATGGATTTTCCAGGAACGTAGTCGATAACCGGGAGAGCCACAGTGGGATCAGTTCCTGGCTTGGGAGCTAACCCTGCTGTGGCTCTGCTTTTAAATAAATTTAAAAGGCTGGTGCGCAGCCGGGGAGGGGACGCAGCATGAGTCGGGATTCAGCTGTCCCGGCTCATGCTGGGTCACCCCTGCTGCGCTTTAGCCTTTTAAATGTATTAAGAGCCGGCAGCTGGGGGGCGAGGGGAGAGGAGGGACTAGTCAGCTATCTGATAAGCTTTTGCTTATCCTATAGTCTACTAGTCACTTACACCCCTACCCTTCCCCCCACAATACAATACTCTTTAATAGTCTTCTTACCCAAAACATGTACTAGTGATTAAACGTGTGATCTGTCTATACAAGGTGGAATTTTCAAGAGTGTTTAAATTATATGACTTCAAATAGGACTTGTGCTCCTATATTATTCCACAAGGTTTTGGAACGCCAGAGTATACACTTTCACACTCTTTTCTCCAGAGAACAATCTGAAGGCTAATAGCACTAATCCTATACAGATAAACAGGTAGACGCTTTGTGCAATAAACAGGCAGTCCCCGGGTTACGTACAAGATAGGGACTGTAGGTTTGTTCTTAAGTTGAATCTATATGTAAGTCGGAACTGGCGTCCAGATTCAGCCGCTGCTGAAACTGACCG